GCTGAGCCTGCCTCCCCGCGCGTGACCGGGTGTTACTGGAGCAACGTCCCCGTGGGAGGGAAGGAAGGAAGAAGGAAGCCAGGCTGTAAAGAAATAAAACCACTGCAGAGCTGACTGCGAGAGGAGAGAGAGGAAGAGACACGCTGGCTGGAAAGGACAGCTTTGCTGAGCCCGGGAGAAAATGGTTTGAGTAATTATCAACGGTAAGGAAACCTCTCGTTCGAGGCAAGAGAGCTTAGAGGGATTTCTGCATGGTAAATACTCTGCGTATTTTATGGCCTTGGCTTGTGGGGGCAGAAACGTGGTGTTGGAGTGGTTTGAAACACAGCCAGGACGCCAGACACAGTAACTCCCTTTCAGCCCATTAAATCCAGTCCCCTCCATTTCCTCTGTTACTTTTGACCATAACCTGCCATGGGTCCAGTGCAATTCCCAGCCAATCTGCCTCAGCTCACGAAGAGGTCCCCGGTCCCCCCTGGGGAGGGTTTTTTGCGATAGCTGGTGTTTTGCATTGCTGCAGCGAGCAGACAGGTCTCCCCTTTCCCGCCAGCCTGCCGCTATGTGGCCAGGAAGATGGGGACCCTGTGCAGCCGGGAGCACCAGGAGCCACCACCCTGCCCAGCGCAGGCAGCCCCCCGCAGCCGCTACCAAAGTAAGTCTGCAGCTCCCTGGGGACGGGGACATCCACAAGCCTCAGCCCCGACCACGCTGGGGATGGAGGGGCCAGGGCTTGCCTGGGCTCACAGGCTGGGGGGGGGAGGGGGGCACCCCCTGTTGCTGCCCGCTGTCTCGGGCAAGCTGCTGCCCTGCCCGCAAAGGTGAGGCACTGGGTCCCCATCCCTCCCTGCCTGTGCTCCAGCGACCATAGTCTTCCTCAGAGCCAGGCGCTTTGTCTGAGGAAGAACCGTAACAGGTAGAAGTTGCAAAAGTTTATTTTCTTTCCTGCTTTATCTTCCCTCGCTGGGTTTTGCCTTTAAATGTCATGGCTGCATCCCAGCCCTTGACAGAGAGGATGAGCAAATAGCAGCCTTTGGACAGGCGGACAGACGTACTCTGGGGGGAATCAGAGGGAGGAGTGGATGTAACCTGCTGAAGCACCGCTTCCCTAGAGCTACGTCTCCCTGGGGCAATCTTTGTTATTTCAGGCACCCTGCTAAATACCAAAATGCATCACCACGCACCCCAGCTGGCAGTGAGAGATTTCTGTCCTTGCTGCCAATCTTCCCCAGCCCCTTCCTGGCCCATTTAAAACACACAAATCACTATGACTTTGCAGATCACTCATGCCATGCCCCCGAGAGCAGCTGCTCCTCCTTGGCTGCCCCCGATTCAGCACGGCGGGTACGGCAGGGACCTTCCTGGCTCCTCGTCCCTGCCCCAGCCATGGGGGCAAAAAAAAAGCTCACCGGGGAGCTGCTCCTGCATCGCCCAGCCATGCTGCTCAGGCATTAAAGCTCGCTATCAAAATGAAATCATTTTTGAACAGCAGAAAGAGGAATCTCAGCATGGGAAAGATCTGACGCACCAATACCAGTTTCACTGGTTTGGCTGAGTCACTCCGGGTTGCTCTTGTGCGAACATGCCCAGAGCTGCACCCAGGCACGAGCACGTTCCCAGGCAGCTGCCACGGCGGTCAGGTCGTGCCCTGTGGTCTCCTACCTCTGCCAGGAGCTTAGGGCTGTCTCAGGAGATTTGCAGGGAAGATGTAGGGCTGAGCCATTCCCTTTCTGCTGCTCCCATGTGCTGTGTGCAAGGGGGGGGAAAGCGAACTGCATGCCTAGGAGGGTCCTATAAAATCTCCAGAATATCACCTTTCCCCTAAAAAAGCAGCTGGATCCTTAATGGGGGGAGGAGGTGGGGGAGAAAGAATGTCTCCCTTCACTAATGCCTTAATTAAGTGCATATGAAGGAAAAGCAGAGCATTAGTCATTTGGCCTGCAATGGGAGCCAGGACTTTGCAGAGGCCCTGGGTGGGAAGAGCAGGGCAGGCACTTGGGTGTATCAGCACGAGGAATCAAACTCCTCCTTTGAGCAAAGAAGTTAAGCTCCTTCTCTGCAGTTAATTGCCGGGTGTTTATCGCAATCAGGGGAGCTGCCCCAGTTGGCACTAGCAGGTCTGGCCCAGCGCCTTTCTGGCTGGTTGGGCACACCAGCCCTCAGCTGCTGTGGATGTGGGGGGTGCTCCAGTGCGAAGGGCAGTGGTGGTCTGCACCTCTCTTTAGCACGGAGCAGCCCACGGCTGCGAGCTCCGCAGCACGCCGGGGAAAGCTGGCCCAGGACGGGGCACGAGGAGCGTGCAGCTCAGCAGAGTACAGATCCAGCTGGGAAATGTGGATGATCTGGAGACACCAGTGGTATCCAGGTCACAGTTTGGAAACTGCAGAGTTTTATCCCCTCCTTGCAGCACGGTGGGCTCTGCTGGAGAGCTCTCTGTGTCGTAAACCTGGCCTGACTCCCTTGCACTTGCCTAATGTTGCTTATGGTTCCCATCAGGAGGTTTTCCAAGCACCTTGCCAGTTCACACACCATCCTTGCCCTTCAACAATAATCTTTCCCCTTGGCTAATCCTGAATCTCTCTCTTTTCTCCCACGCTTGTGCATTTGCAGATGTAAAGGCAGAGGTATCAGCAGCCCCCCAAACAAGAGCCTCACTTCCCAGGAGCAACGACCCCATCCAAGACCAGCCCTGCAGATCCTGAGGGTAAAAGCCCTCGTGGTCCTCTGCTGAAGGCTACGAGCTTTCTTTCCACCAGTTTCCCCAGGGAATCCATTTTCAGGGAATCCTGCAGCCCAAGGATTGGAAAATATCAGCAAATCCCTTCTGTATCTGCTCTCAACATAGAAGCAAAACGATAGAAAATGTCCTGATCGGTCTCTCGTTACCAGAATTTTCTAGCTGACAGAAAAAAGAGATTGCCAATGTGTACCAGATGCTCCTGACACCTTTGGGCCATGGAGCACCAGGGGAAGAGCCATTGTATCCTAGCAGCAAATTGGATTTTTACACTGTGAAACCAAATCGTGATCCTAATCATATTGGTATACATTCAGACTATTTCCATGAAGGCAAAATCAGCTCGTGAGCTGGAATAAGGAGTCTTAGAGCTTAGGTTTGTGGAAATCCCATGACGTTTTGTACAATCCCTTTCCCCATGCCCAGTAAGCTGGTGAAGCTGTACTTACTGGGCGGCCAGCACCCCTGCGTGATGCACAGCACCCACAGAGCAGAGGGACCGCAGTCGGATCCCCCCTCTAGCAAACCCCACGCCGTCACAGAGAGCAATGACAGCAGAATCGCAAACTCCGCACCTGCGGGGAGGAATCTGCCCGACCCCTTCCTGTGACAGTCCAGGCTGAACCAGAAATAAAGAGAGATGAAAAGAGGCTGGTTGGGAGCATGGTGGTTCTTCTCCTGGAAGGGGTTTGCTGTCATTACAGTGTTTGAACAGACTGATGCTTGGGATTGTACGTTGGCAGCACCGGGGCTCGCTGCAGAGGCTTGTGCCTTGCTGCTCGTGTAGGAGGAGATGGGTCTTGTCTCACCATTGCTCGTGATGATAGAAACAACAGGGGAGGGAACAGAGTCATCTCGCATCCCTGGGCAGAGCTAGCACTAAGCACTCGGGTCTCAGCTCTCTTGCTGCCACCCTGAGCGATGGTTTGGCCTTCGGTGCCGTAGATTTTTCTGGTACAATATCGCATGAGGGGGAGATGCTTGGTGGCAGGATGGGATGTAAATGAAGGGATGCACAAAACTAGAGACCTTGATTTTAAAACCCTCCTGGTTTTGTGCAGGGCAGGTGTCCTGTGCAGAGCTTTGTTCAGGTGGGAGAGGCATAAGCCCTGCCCGGGAGGCTGCGGGGCTCTGCGGGAGATGGGGAGGGAGGGAGGGCGGGCAGGCTGGAAGGTGCAGAACAACCCCAAATCTCCCTTGCACACTCAGCCACAGCGAGGCTGGAAAACACAGACCTTAGGACTCTTTATTCTGACCACTGCCACTCCCTAGGACAGCTGTCACCACCAAACCATGTGGTTAGGTGGTCAGGTAAACGTCAGTGCATGCAATCCCCTGAATTTAATGGAAATGCCCAGCTCTGGGGACAGAGGAGGACACCAGCAGTACCTGGACCATACAGCAGTTCTCCATTCATGGGCACTACCTGAGCACACAACCTCTTGTAGGCTTACAGCACTTCATTTCCCATTCCTTTATGACCTCCAAGCAAGTGTGGAGGTCTCCTGCTCACCCCCGGCTCCTCTTACATGCTGTGTGCAAACACAACGGGGGGAAAGGAGGAAAGGAAAACCAAAGGAAATCAGCCTGTCCCAAAATGGAGCAGAAAGGGGAGTCTAAAAAGAGACGTGCTCCAGGATGCCCTACACAGTGCACAGTGTCTTCTTTAAGGCCTCATCCCATGGATCATCAAGATGTCCATCACCCTCCTCCCAGGGGAGGCAGCAGAAGCGGCAGGTACCGAGCACCGTCCCGAGCTGGTTCTTAAACGGAAAGTTTGCCAAGTCACCAGCTGAGACGTTGTCCGTGTCTGTCACAGGACAAAGCTGACAACTACGTGACACAAACATAATCCAGAGCAAACATCACATTTAGAACACTGCTACGCACAGATTTTCCCTGTACTAAAAAACCCCACATACTTCATTTTGAAGGTGTGGAGCTGGCACCTGCAAGTATTCCTTGCAGCTCTCCAAGGCCCCCAGGTAAAAGCAGTAGGGAATTTCCCAAGGGAGCTCCAGGCTGTCCCTGGATTGTTTCTGCCCCCGGAGCAGCTCCGTCACACCAAGCCAGTGGGCAGGCAGAAGGTTGCAAAGATAAGCAGCTTTCTTGTGAGTGTCTTGCATGTTTTATTAAAGTCATATTTCCACTCATTCATCTGGATAAGTCCAGGATGAGCGATTACAGCCCTCTCTTCTTCCCCACGGCTTCTTCACACTGTTGTGTATGGACAGCTTTTATTTCAGCATTTTCCAGCCCCCTCCGGTCACCTGCCCATGAACCAGCTCTGGTGTGTGTTGAGCGCGGTGGTCTTGATGAACTGGCATAGACAGGGCACGCTGCTGTGCTCCAGGTGCCCCCCTGCCACGGCCCGAGGGAGCTGACCAGTGACCAGGAGCCGGACGTAGCATCCACTGAAGATCACCAGGAGCTGCTGGGCCATCACCTGGAACGAGCACGAGAGGTGTCAGAGCAGAGCATCTACCTGCAGGAAGAGTGAATGATACACTAAATGCCATCTGCTCCCTCGTTCAAGGACTGTCCTCGTCTGAAAGAAACAGGACAGGAGCCAGTGGCATATATAACTGTCCCAGATCCCCTTCTGGTCAGCAGTGCTGGCACACTGTCCCCATGGGGGAGTGACATGAAATGACCACTCGCCGGTGGGTGGCCGGGGAGCCAGGCTGCCTGGGGACCTGCCTGCTCTGTCACTGCCTCCTGCTCCTTTTTTTTTTTGCCTGTAGACAGCCAGAGAGCTTCAGTCTGCAAGGGTGTCACCTGCACCGAATTTGCTTAATAACAGCAAGCAGAAAACTGTAAAATAAATCAAAATCATCCCTTTTGAAGCTTCTTGCTGAGCAGGAATTAGGACACATTTGTTGCTCAGTACGGCACAAGTCTTTGAAGGCACGTTCCACAGAGGAGACAAAGGCTGAGCATGGCCATGCCTCATCCCCAGCCTGGACACAGGCGCTGGGTCCCTGCACGAACCCTGGGGAGAGGTTAACTTCCAAACAGGGACCCCGGCCACCAGCAAGGAAAAGCCTAATCCATGAATTCCTCAAGGATTAAGCATTAGATGCTCAGTAAGCATTAACTGCTCAGCAGTGCCAGGGCTGGAGAAGGTGTGTGTGGACCTCCAGGCTTCCAGGTGCTCCTACTGGTGAAAAAGGAGATATACCAGCAGCCACCAACCATGGTGACGAGTTTTGGAGTCGAGGTGCCTGGGGAGGTGATTTGGCGCCTCTGTCCATCGGGGAGGGATATTTCCCATTACCTCTGGTGGACCCTCAGGCACGAGGCGGAGCAGCTCGTTGCATATCACAGGCTCTTTATTTAGGTTCACCCCACTGGATAAAAGAGGGGACTCTTCACGCGAAGCCTCCTCCTCCTCCGTTCCTGGGTCGGGCTGAACC